TAACATACTTTGGACATGTTGTGAGGAGAGACCGGTCCTTGGAGAAGAACATCATGCTTGGTAGGGTGGAGGGACAGCTCAGGAGGGGAAGGCCCTCTATGAGGTGGATTGATTCAGTAATTGGGGTAATAGGGTTGGGAGTGTCAGAGACAGTGCGATTGGCACAGGACAGAGAGGAGTTTAGGGCTGTTGTACATAGGGTCGCTATGAGTCATGGGCGACTGGACGGCACATAACAACAACAACAACAATCAAACTCAAATACATTTCTTTGCAAAATCTCTCTGGGTATTTAAGGTTTGTCATTCAAACTTGTCTTTCCTAGCCAAAAGAGTAAATGTTTGTTTTATGGTAAAGTAATTAAAATATAAAGGAGAGAAGATTAGGATGGGATGTGGAATATAAGCCTCACCCTACTAGAGACCAATTTGCTTATTGGACCTCAGCGTCAGGAGCGTTTTTCCTTTGGAAAAGCTCATTCACCTGAGATTTCAGGGGCTGACTAGTCTCTTCACCTCCAGCCCGCATCACACACAGCCACCAACTATGTGTGTCACAAGTGACAGTCTACCAGATCCTGGCCAATCATAGCTCACTAGTTTCTCCCAAACCAGCCTGCAAACCAACTGTCATGGGAGTGAGTCATTCTCCTGCCAGTTCTGAGTCTCTACGAGACCATCTAGTAAATGTAAACCCAAAGATCATAGAAGAAATGGGGAATTGAGTCATGCATGGATGGAGCTATTCATGTTAGAAATTATGGACACAAAGAGCTGGTTAAGCATTTGGGACCACGTTGACCTGAGAGTTTCCATAAATAGTCTGCTATTAATTGTAGCAGAATGAATTATGAAAAGAATCTGAAAATCATTCTAATGATATCTTAGCTATTCTGGACATAAAACAAAAGTTGTGCATTTTCTTACATTGATGCAGAATTTGAGGAACTCTAATGGTCTAGATGTTAAATATGTGGCTGGTAACTGAAAATGGTTCAAACTGTTGAGCAGCTCTACGGGCTAAAGATGTGGTTGCCTGCTTTTGTAACAATTACTGCATTGATAACCCGAAGTTGTACCTTGTTATGCAGGGTCACTACGAGTTGGAGTCAATTCATTGGAAATTAGTTTGATTTTTATTTTATTCATCATTTATTCCTAAATCTTGTAGATTTATAACCCTTGCCCAATTGATTATGAATAAAATAAAAGTAATAATGTGCTTATTGAAAAATTGCTTTGTGGTAATTTCTACTGGTCAAAGAATGCCAATTCAGTGTAATTTTATCCTCAATAAATTTTTTATTGTGTTTTCTGAAACTTTAATACAGGTGGATGTCTTTTGTGTAATGATAAAATGAATATTTACAAAAATAAGGGTCTTATTACAGATTAAATTTATTTATGTAATGATAGCAACATGAACATTGAGAGAAATAAGATCATAGGAACATATTAATTTCAAATGTCTAATTTACATGTGATATAAATGAAAACCAACTTTCAGGAGGAAAAGCAGTGAGGAAAAAACCCAGCGAAAAAAGTATAGGTATTTTGGTTTTTGGTTTGCTCAATACGGCTGCTCACTGGTTGTGAAAAAGCATGGATAACATGGGGAAGGCTAATTTTGATTTCTACTAACTCCACAAAGAGAAACTGTCCCCATCATCAACATCCATTGTACCAAACCAATAGGTACAAGATCAGACATTACCTCTCACTCTCCTGGATCCACTTTTATTAATTCCAACAACAATTTTACCAAAAACTGGATTTGAAATTTGTTTTAGTGACCATGCAGACTTCACAGAACCACAATGATTGTGGGGTTTTATTAAGAAAGTCAACAGACTGCAACTCAGGATAGCAACAAGCAACAGCATGTACTCAATAACCATACAATTCTTTAGTCCTCCAGCAAACTTAAGTGACGGCCCCTGGCCCTCATTCAGTGGGTGTAACATGTAGGGCCATATGCTGTTAAAGCAAAGGTGGTGTCTCTCTAGTGGTCTGAATCCACTAACCTCTCCACAGGGTGAAAATGGGCCATCTCCTCCCATAAGATTTATAACCTCCAAACCCCATTGAAGGGTTAGCTTGAGTCAGTTCTGACTCAGTGGCAATGAGTTTGCATTAGACTTATTTCTATATCATTATTGTTGTTAGCTCAACTGACCCTCCAGATGACTTTCAGAGGCAGAAGCCAAGTCAGGTACATACACATAAGACTAGCAACATTCCCAAATCAGACCGAGATCACTGTGATTCTCAGCCCAAATACTTCTCTGACTTAGTAAACATCTTCGTCAACAAGATATCACATCTTGTTCCTACCTCAGTCCACAGAATATGATTTCTCAGTCCACAGGATACAATCCACAGTCCTCCAGCAAGCTTGGGCTAAATCATTAAATCATGCTGCCTCTCCCATGTTGTCTGCCTTTCTTCTCCTGGGGCTGTAACACAACTCCCTATCTTGGGCTCACGCAGCTGTTGATGATGTAGGTGGGCCATCTCAGGAAGAGCTGAGGCAGCTGTAAGAAGTTGACATACTTGCAGACAAGAGAGCATTGAGGCAGCCTACTAAAAACAATGGTCTAGGAAAGCCATTTTAAGCAAAAGAAAGCCATAGAAATAGACTCATTATATGGCACTTGTTTTTACATACTTGTTTTCATTTCATATCATTTTTACCAGCAGGAGTGGCATCCGCTTCCTAAACAACATGGTAAACAACAAGGTAAACTCTATGAACTTTGATAAATGATGATAGTTATAGAAAGGCTTCAGACTTTTCTTTTTTGGAAAAAACAACAAACAAAATAAACTAGGCTGGAAAGAAAGAAAAATTTGTCAAACATTTCTCTTTATCTCATCACTTGCCTCTTAATTATTATTCTACACTTTCAGAACACAAATACCTTTGAAATTTTGTACCTACAAACCGTTTTACTTTATATTAAAAGTAGATAATGCATTATACCTGAAAGCAAATAAGACTTTTCACAGTTAAGTTCCGGTATATATTTTTTAATTCCAGTCAAGACTTGCCAACTCCCAGTGGATACTTGACTTAGTTAATATGATTGGTATCATTAACTCATTATACTATGTCTTTTCATATTAAAATATATTTGTATATTTCAGTCCTAATATTCTTA